AACAATCTATGTTTGATTTTACATCTAATGGTAGAGTCTCATCTGTGATTATATGGGAAAAAGGTTTTTTTTTTTTAATTTTTAAAAAAGGAAATGTCTGATCCAACAATATTTTCAAATTTCATACCTACATCCTTGAATGTTATTCGCTGTGACAATGATAACGACAATTATAAAATGTGTATAGTTGCAATGAAGAGCGGAGAGGTAATTTTTCTCTAATACAACCATATACTTTAAATAGATATTATTATTATATTATATTAATATGATTAATTATAGAAAATATGTTTTCAAGGTAGTCTTCTTGTTGCAACAATTTATGGAGACGCATTAATTATGGGATATAGATTAAAAAGTGCAAAATCAAAATTTTTAGAAAACAATTTTAATAATTTTGAAGGTGAAAAAGAAATGGACATTCTATTTCATCCAGTGTTCTCACCTAAAACACATTCACTTTTAGTTATAGAGTCAGTTGAGAGACAAGATTTATCATCATCGTCATCATCATCATCAGATAATAAGGAGATTCATTCTAGTATTAAAGCATCAAATGGTATAAAACATTGCATCAATGAAATGTTGAAAAAAAACAACGAGCACAACATATTGAGAAATGGTTATGACACCATACTTGTTTTCCGAGATATTGTTTCATGGTGTGGTATTAAACATTTGGGAATTGTCGCACCAATATATAGTGATATTTTCATTCCTGATGATGACAAGTATAAATCAAACATAGAAAAACAAGATTTTTTTCAAATTCCAGGATTTTATCCGGTATGGTTTACTTGATAATAATAAAAATAATGATAGCAATAGTAATAGTAATAGTTGTGTACGAGAAAATTTACATAGATTTATAATTATAAATATATATATATATAATATATATATTAGATTTTTGAAATGATAAATGAAGAGGGTGTTACATCTTTTAAAATATTAGATTCTTGGAAGCATGCAGCAGATGAAATGGAGACTGGCTTAATTAAGTATGGCATGTACTCAATTAAATAATGAATAAATATATGGGTTTATTTGAAATTATAATATATATAATTGATATATTCATATATTTTATTGATTAATTATTAGGCATACCACTAATAGGAATAACCGTAGGACATAAAAATGTTGGAAAATCTAGTTTTTCTAAATATTTACTTAATAGATTACTTAATGTGTAATTATTAACGAAAGTTTTTGTTTATTGATGAAACATTAAATCGAACAAATTTAATTCTAAACCCGATTATTTTGCAGATGTCCAAAAGTTGCGTATCTTGAAACAGATATTGGACAAAGTGAATTTACACCAGAAGGAATTTTGTCACTCAATATTATAGAATCACCTATTCTTGGTATGTGTCATATCTTTCAGTAATAAATGATAACGATGATGATAAATAAGACTAATAAGTAATTAATAATAATAATAATAAATAACACATATGGTGAATAATACTAATAATAATTATAATTAATAAGGACCATCATTTACACACATTCAACAGCCGTATTGTTCGTATTTTATTGGTGACAATAACCCAAGGGACAATCCAGACTACTATTTGGAATGTATCCAACAACTAATAAAAGTATATCGTCGTGAATTTGCATGTGGAACAGATTATGGAATGCATGGTGGTGGTAATATGACGATGATGGGTGATGATAATGATGGAGATGGAGATGAGATAATGATAAAAGGTGTTCCATTAATAATCAATACACACGGTTGGGTTAAGGGAATGGGGCTTGATATTTGTTACGAGGTTATAAAATTCTCTAAACCGACACATATATTTCAATTTCATTCCGTTGATCAAGAACAAAAAAGTTAAGGAAGAAGAAATCGATGAGATAACGCTCGAAGAATTTTTGGAAACTGAAGTAAATATTTACACTATAATTATAATTTTCGTTGATTATTAAGTTATGCTTAATAATGATGATGCCATTATTATTATTATTGTAGCGACATAATTTAGGATCTAATCTTACACCAGTTACTTTTGAGAGTTTTACAGAATGGAAGAAAAATCGTAAAGCCAAACAAGACGCAGACAAGGAACTTAAACTTGCTGCCAAAGAAGCTGCATTCAAGGCAGGGAAATCACAAGGAATGTCAGGTCGTGATCTTTTCACATTTAACCCAGATCTTGTTAATCAATCAATTGATGATGATGACGATGATGAAGGCTGGGATCTTTCTAAATATAAACAAGATGACGAAGTCGATGATAATGACAGTGATAATACAGAAGAACATGAAGGAGAACAATTAGTATATGGCCAAGAAGCTGTTGATGAAAATGAGAATAGGTCAGACAATCCTTATGGGGAAGGTGGCAGCAGTAGCAGTAGTAACAATAACAGTAAAAATAATAATACATCGGATAATATTGTTAACGATGGTGAAGAAGATAACGACGATGATGAATAATCAAGATTATTTCAAATGTACACTATTTACATATATTTATTATATTTTTTGCAAGGCAACGATTATGATTTTAATGATTAATTTTTTTTTTAAAATAATTTTTTTTATTTGTTAAATAATTAAATTGTCAAAAATAAACAAATGATTTTTAACAATATGTTTGTATCACACACACAAATCACACAAATTTAAGCATGGGGATGTTTAATTTATTGGATATAAAATGTGACAAAATAAAATTTACATTTTTACCAAAATTAGAAATTTCAGGGAAATCAAGATTTATATGGAACGTGTAACGTTGATCACAATGAACAAAAAATTTAATGTGTAAATAAATATATATATACACGAGAGTTTATTCCTATATTACCACTATCACTGTCATCTTATTCTTGTTCTACTGCTAATGCTACTGCTAATGATAATACTGCTTTCAATTTGCCATTATTATATTTGATGACATTACGTTAGAGAAAGTTAAATCAAAGAAATTTGCATAAATGTTCCATTTATGAATTGGTTATAAAGTAATAATATTTAATAATAGTATGACTGTGTTCATTCATCATATTATGTTGTACTCAAATAATTAATTGCATATATAACTATTAATAAAAACAAGTATTAATAGATAGATAAATAAGGCGTCAATATTCCATTCAATAAAAATTACATCTATCTGCAGTTTTTCTTGAATTTGTAATATAAAAGATAGCCTTTATTCATAATAGAGTAAGAAATTACTTACCTGTAATTAAATTATATATAAAAAATAGTTTAATAATTCCATGAAGAATACCTCTTTAGATATTGAC